ACTGTTGTCTTAATTCCAATGCCCAGGAATATCCTGAAAACAGAGTCAATGTGTAGTTTCTAATTGCTAGAGTAATTACAATAGCATATAACATAACATAACAGAACAGAACATATATTATATCACATAATAACAACAATAATAATTTGTTACTTCACATCTAGAGATCTTAAAAGGATTAACATTTTGTTTGTTTGGAGCACTAAAACACATGTCCACTCAAATAGAACCTGTGTGTGCATATATGTGTATACGTGGGAAACAGACTCCAGTCTGAATAGGCAGATGACTCAAATAACATGAGTCAAGACATTTGGTGATGGCAGAAACAAAGCTGGGTAAGTGATAACTAGTAGCTCTCAGAAAATTCGGAGATTTGAGTATGTGATTTCTTCATGTGCTCTGTAAGAAGGCTGAAGCTCCAGAAGCCTGAAATTTGAACAGAAAAAAAAGCAATGACACCAAGTGGGATGACCAATTACCTCAGCTATTTTTCCTTCACAGTGTCAAGCAAGAAGGTCATATGCTTAGGAAATGACATCATATCCATGTTAGCAACCATAACTCTCCAGCTATGTTCTTGTTACAGCTATGAAACCTTACTTTTTTTTTTTCTTTTTTTTTTTTTTTTTCTGTCAGGAAGGGTGTGTGTGTGTGTGTATGTGTGTGTAAAACATACAGTAGGTAAATATGTTGAAGGGCTCTGGTAATTTCATGGTAACCACAAGAGCAAAGCTCAAGTTGTTTGTGATGTTAACAGAAACCAGAGATGTGCTGTATGTATAGCCTCATTCACAGTCTCTGAATTGCCTTTTATATAGTTCATGGATCACACAAGAGTTTAAGAGGAAAAATATTTTCTTTAAATTCATGTACATAATGTCCCTTTTCCTTCCAACATACCAGAAGAAAGTCTGATAATTTTGACTTATTGTAAAACTTTACTGCATTTATTTTTAATACAGGCATACCTTCTGCACCTAAATTTCACTACAAGATATTTATGTTGTAAATCCTTGCTAAGAAATGAAAATCTGATATCAAAAGTGAAGTCATTCAACCAACTAAAATGAATAGAAAATTGATATGGCTGAAACATTCTTCTGAAAAGCTTAACTGTCTCAAGAGAGAAGATGTAAAATTTTCTTAGCATCTTGTGGTGTTTCTGAAGTTAAGTTTACTAATTTGGATTCCTTCCTCTAAGGAAGAAACCTAGGGCACCCCTTTGAAAGTTTTAGGAATGAATAAGCTTGTTCACATATTCCTTTAAGAAGACATTGGTATGTTTTAGGATTTGCAGCTGAATTCTGTTCTCGTTTACACCTGTGCAATCTCACTGAAGCTAAATTGAAAGAGATTTGTCTAGGATAAAAATATCAGGAAAATTGGTGGTACTAAACTTAGTTTACTGAAAACCAAAATACTAGAAATATGGAAGGAAAAAGTGATTTTGTGATACCTCCAGGCCACATAGGTTATTGGGCACTTTCAAAATGAGCCTCTGAACCTTTTGAAGTCTTCCCATCATGACTGTATTAAAAGCAAATTCATGTGTGTTCCTATTTAAACAGGTTTTTTTTGGAAATTTTCCCCATAATTATATCTCTGCAGCCTGGGTAAATGCAGCATTTGACATAGTGTTTCTTAGAAAGAAATCTTAGTAAGTCAGATAAATGACACTTTGTCGTGTGTGAGTTAGCTTTGGAGATGATGAGCTCCTTCAGAATTAGCTCCTGTATTAGATGCTGTATAGATGAACTAGACTCTCCCTGGACAAATTCATCCTCTTGTGAAAGTTCTGAGACTAACCATTTGGCCTGGAAATACCATCAAAAATAATGCGGTTCTGTGTGCATGTGTCTGATTTTTTTTTTTTTTCCTGGATCCTTTTTTAGCTGTATCAGCTCCCTGTTTCAATTCAGTGAAGAGTTTTACCAGCAAAACAAACTGAAATGGAACAGGGTAGAAATAGGAATAGGTGACTTGTTTAGTATGAAGAAAGGGAAAGAAAACTCCAACAGTTGCTTAGTCTGCCACTGCTGCTGCAAGAAACATATATGTAACCATGAAATATGATAAAACACAATTAAAAGTTTATAGTGTTCCTGAACAACAACAACAAAAAAGACAATGATTTTTGTATGGGAAATCAGTTTTTGACTTTCTCTGTCCATGATTGAGACTGAATGTGTGCAGCTTGGGTTTTCATGCAAAGTGGAGATAGTCTCTAGAATTTACAGGCTTTTGGCTGCTATCTTTACTATTCTTCTCTGTACTCTAATCCCATGTTATGTAGCTCCAAACTCATTAAGTCTGAGAAGGCAGTAAGCCTTTTGAGTCTTAGTGCATGATGTCTCAGTTGCCGTGTATTTAACTACCACACTTTACAGCTCTTTCAGGGTTCTTTGTTTCCTTCTTGTCATATTCTGAAAATCTGTACTAGGATCTGAAAAATCTTCCAGGCAATAGGACACTCAGAAATCCCTGAATCCTGAGTCATAAGAGATCTACTGCTCTCTTTGGGAATGCTCTGTGTGGTTGAGAGCAACAAACTTTTGTAATCAAGACAGTGGTTCACATAGGTCTAGATAAGATATGTCCTTTAATCCTCAGATAAACCACCTGTTCTCTGAAGATAAAACCAAATTTTTTCTGACTGTAAGTCAAAACAGGCTCAGGTGGTTTCATTAAGGATCAATAGAGCAGCAGAGGATCATGTCAAGCTGTAGAGGGTCTCTCATGGGCAGATGTTTGAGAGTCTCCTAGAAACTGCTAAAGAGGTTATCAGGGGAAGTGGAAAGTTCTGAAACTCTCACTAGAGTCTCTTTCCTTCCGTAGATCTCAGGAGGCCCACAAGAAGGAGGAAAAATCCTCAATATTCTTCCCCAGGCACCTTATTCACTCCGTTACCTCTCAGCAGAACACCTAAGATATGCAGGAGCAGAGGCCTGAGGTGTGCCCAACTAGCTGTGTGTATGTGTGTGTGTGGAGAGGCAAGCTGCATTCATGTGAATGGGTGTGGAAGTGTATGAATGCCTGTGCATATGCATGTCTGTGTGAATAAGGAGCTGGGCAGACCAAGAATCTGGAGAGAAGTGTTGCTACCATGACTTTACCCCAGTCTTCTGCAGGAAACCAAAATGAAGCATTTATTGGTTCTTTTTTGCTGCTGGAATTGCCAAGAAGCACAAATTAGTTTTTCAGCTCCTGATGACCCCTACTAATACAACTGTTCAAAATATTAACTTTTAAAATAAGAGTCTATCTCATCCGTGGTATCTGTGCTAGATCTCAGCTAGATGAGTTCAGTGAATCATAATTTATCTCTAGCTTGTTGGTGGTTTGGTGGGTATGTGTTGTTGCAAAGTAATAGGACAATGGGAAAAAAACAACTCAGCATTAGAAACATGTTTTCATTCTCTGTGTATGTGTGTGTCTGTCATAATTCATTACTTCCCCTGACCTATACTTTGGCAGAAAAATAATTACTCAGCTAGAGAGATAACCTACATATCTCAAAGCCAAAATTCCTTTGTCTATGGATTTGGAACATGAAGGCAAAATTAAGTTTGAAGTGGGAATTCACTTTATGGTGTTAACCAAAGAGTAATTGAATTACTTCAACATATAGCAGAGAACAAAGACATGTGGGCTCAATCCCAGTACATTAGAGCAATGATATACTGAACAGACAACAGATTTTTAGGATGAAGACAAATTTAACAAAGTAAAACAAAAAGAAAAGGATATAGTTATTGGCTGAGAAGTTCTATACTGTGAATGAGGTCTAGAAATGTCTTGAATCATGATATTTATACATTTTAAAAAAATTGGCATTTGGGAAAGAGATATCAGTAAAAGTGGAGAAGAAATATAAAGCTGTATATTGTATAATGGTAAGTGTCTATGAGAAATGACCGAGGAAGTTAGAGTGTGTCAGAAGTTATACCCATATAGTACTGATAGAGAAATACAGAGGGTTTTAAAAGATGGAAGGACAGCTGTTGAGTGTGAAGTTTGATTAAAGCAAAGTCAATAGAGGAGGAATGAAAGAATGCACAGTCTGAGATAATGACAGGAGCTGACTTGTGCTAGACCTTGAAAATATTTCCGTCTGTTCATCTAGTAACAAATAAGTGAAAAATACCTATCCATAAATAGCATCTATACATAGATGATAGGAGAAGGTCTGAGACTCAGAATAAAGCTTTAAGTGACTGCCAAGTATAGAAGGCATTACACATCAAAGCTTGAATACGTGGTTACTCCAGATCTTCAGCAGACATCACTGGTAACCACAAAGTTTGTCTCCTAGTCTGTCATGCAACGTTTTCCAGGGATGCACAGTGTAGCCAATTAAGTCTGAGAGCTGAAATAGAAATGCCCTAAAGTATAATTTCATATAAAAACATCATGAAAAGAATTTTTATCTTAAAACCATCTTTGAAATAACTTTAGGAAAAACTCTTGGATGTATTATCAACAATGTCTGTATTTTATGGATTCATTTGTTTTAAAGTAATTACTCAAGGCTTCTCAATATTTAATTTTGCAAATACTTACTGGGTTTGGTCACTTGATAAATCCTGCTTTGTTTTGCTCACCCTTTTATTCTGTTTCCTACCATTACACTAAGAAAGAATTCTTTAAGTCAGAATTATGAAGTCAGTTGTGTGCTTCCACTATATTTACTGACTGGCCAGGCTGACGGCATCCTGAGGTTCAATGGCAAACACTCAGGATAGAGCCACAGAGCAAACGGATGGCAGAGCAAGGAATATGATTCAGCAGCTCTTGCTCTTAAGTGAACAATCCAATATTTTAACCCATGTTATATCTTCATAGTATTTTCTAATATGTTTGCAGAGAACTACTTAAGTACTTGTTGCCTGTTTTAGAGGAGAACTAATAATGGATGTGTGAAGTAAAGCAAACGAAGCATTGTGAAAAACAAAGGATGAACTATCTAAATTTAATCTTATTCATTTTATATGTTCCAGATTCAGAACAATCTGTGGGCAGGGAATGCGGCTAGTGGTTCTGTGGTTACTTCCTGCATGCTGCCACGAGATACGTCCTCCTGTATGACACCTTATTCCCATTCACCCCGGACAGATTCTGGCTACACAGGCTTTTCAAACCACCAGAATCAGTTCAGCCATGTGCCCCTCAATAATTTTTTCACTGACTCTTTACTTTCTGGGGCAACTAATGGACATGCTTTTGAAACCAAGCCGGAGTTTGAAAGGAGGTCCTCCAGCATTGCAGTTCTACGGATGAAAGCCAAAGAGCACGCTGCCAATATTTCCTGGGCCATGTAATATAGCTGTACCCTTTCTTCATTTCCTTTTTTTTTTTTTTTTTTTTTTAATAGCAAACTGAAAACATTTTTATTTCCCATATTTAAAGGACACAACAATAAGCTGCCCTGTGTGAAATGCTAGAACTCTCAATATACACAATGTCTGCTTAAACAAATGCAATATAATATTTAACAATAAAACAAGAATAAACCAAATAGATTTACCATGCATCAAGCTCAACAAGCCCTCTTTGTTTTGGTTTTTATATAGAAATATGTTTTGTTGTACCAGTTGATGAAATATGATTATAGAATTGCAAAAAAAGAATAAAATTATTAAGCAAATATGTCTACTCCATTGGTTTTTAGCAGTCCTGTATACAAAATTAATGTTTTACAAATGAATACTCCATAAGGGAACAACTCTGTAAAGGAAAATAAATTTATTATACTAAAACCAAGTAAATCTCTAAGCATACCATGCAGAGAAGGAAATATATGATCGTTCATGTTGTAGGTGGAATTTGTAAACCTAACTCTCCCAGCACTGGGCTGCTGCTCTGATCCAGCTTTGCTGTTTTGCTAAATGTGTGTGAGCTTGTTGGAGTTATATTAATGCACAAAGAATGTAATGAGAATAGAAGTTACTCCTTTATTTTGTGGACCTGAATGTATTCCTATTAAAGATAATGAGATTTTTTGCCAAACATGTCACTGAAAGAGGAACACACTGTTTAATAGAGTTTTCAAAAATGTGCACAAATTATATAAGTCAATTAGTGTTTAAATGAAACTTTTAAGGTTGCAGATAGGGTATCTTGAAACAGGTGACTAGAAGAGATCATGGAATGGTACGGCGACACTTGCAACAGAATCCAGATTTAGAAAAAAACCCACAACAACAGCAAAGTCTCACTTCCAATCCAGTCAGTTTTACTGTTTTTTGTTATGCTATGGTCAAATTGAAAAGAAAAAAAGTCCAACAAGGAATGCCAGTTTCAGTCTGTAACTGATCTCAAGATGTCGTAAGAGTACATTTCATTTAGTTTTAATTACAGTTTGTTGATTCTTTGCTTATTTGTTTTCTTTTTTTTCAGAGTGTAAGACTGGTTTGCTCCCTTTAAAGTCGATAGGAAAAATGTTTTCGACTGCAGTGGCAGCAGGATTTGGCTCTCAGCTCCCAGCCTATCACAAAGGAATTAAAATGTCAGCAGACTTTCTGACATTTCTGTTGGAAAAAAAAATAGAGGAGAAGAAAAATACTTTACATCTGGAGAATTGCTATCTGCTTTGATTTACTTCTCCTCCCTTTCCCCTGTCACATTCCAAGCTCCTTCAGATGAGTGAAATGTCAGCCTCTTTGAAAGCAACAGTCAGTCTCTCAGGTTCATAAAGGCAAAGTAAATTAATTGAAATAAAGAAGGACTTGCATGGCTGTGATTAGAACAGGATACCACTTTCTGGGCACCCCCTGCTCCTTCTTGCTTTTCTCTCTGGGCATTAGTTAGGAAAGGAGGGCGGATGGGGGGAGAAGGGAAGATCAGGGTAGCACGTTTCATCACAGCAACTGCCGAACTACCAGTACTCATAAAAACAAACTCTCAGGAACCCCAAAATTGTCTCTTCTACCACTCAGGAGGCTAAACTTGAAAACAAAAATAGGAGATGGGTCCATTCTGTAATCTTTCAGTGTAATAAAAAAATCTTAACTTTGAAACCACAAGGTTCAATTGAAAATGGGAATTTTACAGCAGAGTTTTGCACAGCTGATTGAAAGGAATGTTGTCCTTTGTCACTAGTAATAAACTCAAAGTTTAACACATACGTATACTCCAATTTGTGGTTTCCTAATTTTATTCTGCTTCTAAAAATTAACTTCAACTTTGGCCTGCGGAACTGGGAAAGAGTATTCTGGCTAGAATTTACCTCTTGCTTTTTTTATGGCCTGTTTAGACAGCAGTAAAATGAGCGTTATGATTTAAAGTAAAGAAAAAATTTATTTGTACAGGTAAAGATACTAGTTTTATCTAGACACTTGTGCCACATGCAGAAGGATGAAAGTGGTGGAAATACAAGAATTTTTTTTTTAGCAAGTCAAAGTGTTTCTAGTTCTAAAATGTGTTTTTTTTTTTTTTTTTTTTTTTTTTTTTTCTTTTTTTTTTCTTCTTTCCCAGTTTCCACAATCATTATTTAAGGTATAACATTTAGAACATGTCTAAGTCATTTCCAGATAATTTTTATTAGAGCATCATTAGTGGATAAAGAAACAAAAGTTTAGCTGGCAAACTTCAAGCCATCTTTATTGTTGCCTCTCTTTCAATCTACTTATTTATTTTGATAGAATAATTTTCTATTATTTTATTGTGAAATCCAGAAAAAAGTTAATTTTTACAAGGCTTTTTATGTTAAGTAAAATTAAACAATTCCTAGGAATTTATAGCAGGACAGAACTCTTGAAGAGAATAAACATCCTTTTCAAAACATTACATTTTTAGATGTTTGAAGCCTCCAAAATCGAAGGGGAAAATAAAAGAATATGTAATTTTCCTGCTGATTTAATTAAATGAAAAGATAGAATTCTAATTAATTCTCCGTCCTCAATTTTAGCAATGAAAATTATTTGTTACATGTTGCTAGCATAACTTTATGCATTAGACAAACAGGTATTCAACCCTTCATTAAACCTGAAGTGTGATAAGTTGCAGGCCTGCATTAAGCTTGTCATGCTCTTGCATCAGCCTTGTCTCAAAGAATGAATGATAGTCTGTTGGTTGCAGCGTTTCATTTAGCTAATGAAAAAGTATCTTCATGTTAGATGTCAAGTACTACAACAGGGTCACATTCTGCCACTTTTATTTAGTAGTGCTTTACTCCATGAGTAGATGCATTGATGTGAGGGAGACTACTCACATAGGCCAAATTGTGAATCACTTGTAAATGTTTATTCACAATGGCCCCATTCATGCAAAGAGCTGCTCAGCACAACATGAGTAATCGGTTCATAATCAGGTCCAGCTTAAGGTACTATTCAGCTCTGGTAAGGATGGCAGAATTGGGCCCACGCTGGCTTAGGGCCAGACTCAGATTTTTTAACCAAGATGAGTAGCTCCTTATTCCACAAATAGTGCAACTAGAGCCAACAGGGCTATTTGTAGGGTTCTTTTTTAATAAGAAAATTCTAGAAACGAGACATTTCAGTATATACAAATAATTTGAGTAAGTTTCTAATCAAGGTAAATGATTTTGTTTCCCACTAGACTAAACTCCCACATTTGACAGGACTTCTGTTCTTGTGCTTTGATTTTATCCACTTAATGATTTTTTAGCATGAGCAACTAATCTTTTCGCTGCTTCTTCAACATGTGGCAAATGCACTAAAAACAAAAGGAGGTGATTTACATAGCCTTCCTGCCAAGTACTTTAACTAATGTTTGAGATATGTGATCATCATGCAATGCTGAGAAGTAAATTTATAGAACTTCTGGGCAAAAAGTCCCTATCCTGTTAAAAGAGAAAGTGAAATATTGTTGTAATTATTGCTGTGAAGAATTTGTGACGACATAACATTGTGCTGTTTTTTCTCCTATGATTGATTCATCAACAATTTGAAAATATTAATCTTATATTTGAACAATTTTTTGAACAGATGTAAATTTATCTATGAAAATTAAAAGTCCTCTTTAAGATTTGTACAGACTCATGTGAGTGATGGACAACACTGCATTTAGAAGCTAAAGACCCAGTTTCCTTAGCATAAAGATAGTCAGAAAAGTTTGACACCAGTGATTTCTACCTACAGTCTAAGCAGCAGTGTTACATACCATGGGAACATATCAATGAAGGCATCTTTTGTTGCTGAGAATAAGCTGAAATGAACTATATTTCTCACTTCACTTCTTTACTGTCATAATATTTTACACTGTCAGGTGTTGAAAAGTCCAGTTCGGTATGTTAAAAGCTTTTTATTTTGACTGTGAACTTCATGGTAAGGACCTGAAGAATATAGTTTAACAGATACAAACAATAATATGCATTTAATACTGAGGTAATTTAGCATGATAGAAGTAAATGATTTTGTTTGCAAAGAATAAAATATTGCACCATTTTCAAAATGACAAGATGAATTAATATTTTACTGATTAAGTTAATTAGATTAATTATTAATCAGAGTTAAATCAGGCTAATCATAATTAGAACTCATTTCAAACACTTATACTGCTAAAATTCAAAATGTTTCTAGGGGAAGTTCTTTCTATGACAAGGCACTGATATTTTCCCTCAGCAGTTTCATACCCAATTAACAAGTGACCCACTCATCTTGTTTCCAGAATACATCCTTCTTATCCCTCTACAGTGATCTTCCTACATTTGGCTGGCATCAGAATGGTAGTAAGGCATTGTGAGGTACCCAAAGCTCTGTACCCATTTGTTTTATATCACTTCTGAGTAGCCTCAAGAAGCTGAAGTATATATCTAGTTTAACTAGGTTTACAGCTGCTTTGTGTTGCCAGTGCAACACGAAACAGTTGTACACTGGTGAATTATCTCATGAAATATTGGTGGTGTACGCAAACTTATTAAGTAAACATCCAGAATGCAAAGTTCTGGTAGTTGAAAGAACATATTTTAGATTTAAACTGCGTAAAATAAGCAGCAGGCTTGGCAGACACTGAATGTGAGCTGTGGGTATGAGAGAGGGAGTGTGCAGTGAGTGTGGGGGTATGGTGGCTGGGAGTGGCAGAATCATTTTCTGGGAGAAGAGTCAAGTTGCAGTGCTGGAGTAAGGAGGAAACATAAACCCAAGGCATCCCTTCCTTCCCTCTCTTGACTAAATTCCCCCCACCTAAATCTCACCAGGACCTGTGAACATAAGAACCACCTTTCCTGTCTCTATTTGCAAGAAGAGTATGGGTTTAAGGGGTCTCGAAGGAGCAGAGCTGGTAGGTAGATTATCACTGACAGTAAAAACATATTGGGAAATTAAAGAGTAATTTGGGAGAGAAGCATCCAATCTCTACATTCTCTAACCATGATTTTCAGGTTTTCTTTCCTTGAATTTTAAGG